TATCGTTCTAGACCGCCCTAAAAAATGTCTGATTTTTTGATTTTTTCGTCAGAACCATCCAATGAGCCTATTAAAGCACGAATGAACTTATCATTGTTTCTAAATACATTGATTGAATACTGTAAAAAATGTCACATTTGAGAATTTTTTCAGTATGTTCTTCGCTTCAGAATAATATTGATTCTTCCATCCGAATATCTACACAATAATTATTAAATACAATCTAAAAAAAGGTAGTGGGGCTTCCAGGCGCGTTGCGCCCTCTAGCCCCGAAGATGTTTAGTATAAATGAAGTTTATATTCGGAGGGCTTCCAGGCGCGTTGCGCCCTCTAGCCCTGAAGATGTTTAGTATAAATGAAGTTTTTATTCGGAGGGCTTCCAGGCGCGTTGCGCCCTCTAGCCCCGAAGATGTTTAGTATAAATGAAGTTTTTATTCGGAAAATTGTTAGTCTTCTGGTGTGAATTCGGAGGACTCTTCTTGGATAGAGTCTTGTATTTCCTCCTCCTCTTCTTCCTCCTCCATTGCTTCTGGGAAGAAGCCTTCTTCTTGGTCGAAAACATTATATAATGTGTCACTTTTCACAAATTATATATGTTTTCATGTTTTGTCACTTTTCTGTCACTTTTCGAGTAAAAACATTTTTATTATTATATATAAATGAATTTTACAAAACCGCCGTTACCGTTCTTTGGAAATAAGAGTAGATGTAAAGATATTATATTGAGGTGAGTGGGGCTTTGGCTTTGGTTAGCGGTTGAGAATTGTTAATGTTTGAATTGTGGTTAACAGCGTTGGCTTCCATTCGATAAAAATGAACTGACCAAAAAAGACAGATATTTAAATATTTGAGATAAACCGTTTTCGTCAACGGTAACTCCCTCTATTTTTTATTTTATTTAATAGTTACCGTTGGAAAAACGGTTTATCTCAAATATTGAATGAACTATAAACGTTTTTTGTTTTCTATATATACTTTTTTGTCCAACGGTAAAACTTTTTACACAACTGTTTTTGAGAGTCGTCGCCGTTGACTTTTTTGTAGAGCACTCAAAATAGTATAACTTTGTCCGGACAAGCAAGGGTCTATCATCGCTACAGGAAAAGTTACAGGCGTTCCAAGGAAGTATACTTTGAGAAGCCTTTCTCCCCTTATAGAATGAGATAGGACGGTTATTTTACAAAACTGACAACACTTTGACCGAGTAGTTTTTTTGCTGAACAAAAAGTGTCATATAAACATCTGTCAAAAACCGCTTTTTAACTTCACTTAAAATGCCACGTAAGCTACGTAAGAATATACGTAAGAGGAAGGGAGCATTGAAACATCCAATAGTAAAACTGACACCACAACAAAGTTGCAACAACAAATGATGAATGACCCCACTATGTTGCAACAAATGTCAAGCAACCCTATGCTTTTAAACCGAGTTATTGGTGCACAGAGTGGAGGTTTAAGAGCGGCACTTTTAGCGAAAATGGCAGGCTATGGTGGAGCTGCAGACGGAACAGCTTATAACCCTCAAAGTCAAATGAATTTGAGTTCACTCAAAAATCAATAACAGATGTCAAAAAGTCAAACATAGACATACAGAAACAAATAAGTGAAAACGAAAAGAAACTAGAATATGACAGACAGACAAAGAAACTCAATGAGTTAAACGTAGAGAAAAAGAAGAAAGAAGAACAACTGAAAGAACTAAGTACAGAGGAATATGCGAAAAAGTGTCAGAAAAAGCAGCAGAAGTAGCAAAAATGGAACAAGATGTTATAAATTTGAAAAACCATACTACTCAATATAAAGTACTGAAAGATGAAGAGATAAAACAAAAAGCCATGAAGACATATATGGATAGCGATGAGTATAAAAAGAAGTTGAAGCAAATGTAAAGGCAGAAAAACTTTTACAGTTGCAAAACCAAACCGTACAGTATGAAAACTTAGCACAAGAAAGTAAAAATAACGACGCAGCCATGCAAAAGGCAATGAAAAGCGCAGATATTATAAAAGCTAATAATGACTGGTTAGATGCCCAAGCCAACGCTAAAGCAGCCCAACTTATAGGGTCAATAAGGACAAAAATACAAGCGGATGAAGACAGTTCAAATGAAGCTTTAATGAATGCTGACTTTAAGAATGCCTTCGAAGCTCTTCATAGTAAGGTGAAACTAGTGAACGACTTCTCATCTGGAAAGAAACTGAAGTCTGAAGGTTTCGACAAAGAGTTAAGAGAAGTAGCACAAAATATGACGAAAATAACAGATGCAGCAACGAGACAGGCAGTTCAAAGTGCCTATGATGCCGTTAGAGCAGCTGTTGTGGAAAGTCAAGAAAAAGAGTTACAACAGACCAAAAAGACCTAGTAAATGCTTTCTTAAGAATGAAAAGTCAGGTAGGACATTATGCTGCAGATGGAACATATGTGCCAGCTGTTGGAATTTATATACCACCAAACCTCCAAGAGAAGCAACCTGCACCAGGACTACCTAAAACATTTCATCGTCACATGGACACAGACACAGGCATGCACAAAACCAGCACAACAACCAACAGTTCAAAATCCAGCACAACAACAACAACCAAAAACAACAGTTCAAAATCCAGCACCTGCACCACAACCAAAACCAGCACACACAACCACCTCCCAACACCAGCACAGCAACCAACAGTTCAAAACCCTGCACAACAACAACCACAAACAGAGCAAAGACATAAAAGAAGTAGAGAAAAAGGAAACCAAGAATTCTTAAAAATGCTTAAGGAAGATTATGGTTACCCAGATACTCTTGACTTTAGTGACAGATATAAAGAAGCTATTAGAAAGTTCAAGGAAGGAAATACTGACCCGAACCTATTTAGCTTTATGGTTCAGCATAAAATCGGATATAATCTCAAACCTGGAAAATACAAGCTCGCAAAGGGATATGATTTAATAGCATATCATCCAAATGACATGGATGAATTTACTCCGAGATATTTGATGTCAGAGCTAAATGATAATTCAACTCTCTTCATGAAACGCGTAAAAAATAGAGACGGAACGAAAGAAGAAAGGTTTATGAGTCCGGATGACTTAGATAGGGAACTTGTTAAAACGGTCTCGGAATATATGAAATGCCAGCAGATGAGGTACAAGAAACTCAACAGGAAGAAGTTCAGATACAACCAGACATGGAAGAAATAGTTCAGCAACAACAGCTAGAAGAGCCTGAAGGAAACGAACAAGTTCCTCCTTTGGAAACTAACTTCACAGAACTAGATGAAGATTTGGAACAGCCGAAAAATCTTGACCCTCAACAAGAGTATGAGGTGAATATGGAATCTTTCCAAGAGTCTAAGAAAAATTCGGCTGACATAGTAGAAGAATATCGAAAAATGTTCACCGACATACAAAAGACTCCAACATCAGATGAAAATATTCAGCATAGAATGGAAGTACTGAAAGAAAATGTACGCAAATACAATAATCCTTTTTACTTACGACCATATAACGTTCAATCTTTGGCTGAACTCGGTGAAAATAAAAGGTTAAATTTCAACAAAACATATAGAAATGAAACATTGTTTAAAGTTCATTCAGAACCTAACCAATATGGAAACAAACCTACTTTTGTTTCTGCAGACTATGGAACTACAATGAGATGGGGTCATAAAGCTAATCCGGATAGGTGGTTCATAAACTTACAACCTCAATTCCAAGAAGTTGTAGACGCAATGGAAGTGAATGGTGAACCAGATATAACTGGTATTTTCAGCGCGCTTTAATGCCATTGAAAGATATGAAAGATGCAGATATTTTGGACCGTATGAAATGAACATGGCTGAGGGAAATATAACACCTGACGTTCTAGAACATTTATCTCAAAGAACTACACAGAACCATAGAGATGGTATATTTGGTGAAGAGTTTAGAAAGAAAGTTAGGGAGAGAGAAGGAAAGAACCTATTGTACATGACCTTGCAAACGAAAGTTTGCAAAATGTCATAAAAACTTACTTTGCAGACAATGAACTGAGAAGGGATGAATATTTAAGAAAACTCAAATGGACAGTACCAAATGAAATGTTAGTATTGAAAAACATGTTCCATGACAAAATAAAACCAACTACAGAAATAAATGACGCAAGACTGAAACGTTGGGTAAAAGCTTTCCCATTCACAAAAGATATTATTGGTTACATGGAAAGAAACCAGAATGGCTACAAAAACATATATTTGGAAACGAGCTTATTCCATATGGACAAGCTATATTTGAAGAGCTTGAACCGGAAACTCAGGAAAGAGTCATGCAAACAATAAGCGAAGACTCAAATACAAACTATGACAAAATCTTTCTAGGATATAGGTTACCTGAGATGGGCGACCAGAGCCCAAAGGCAAAAGGACATGGGAAATTTACAACATACTAGGTGAACATGAGGCAAAGATGCTACAACTTGAAGCAGAGGGCAAGTTACCAAAAGCGAACAAAGAAGAAGAGAAGAGTAGAACAAAGTGAAAGTAGTGAAGAAGTAACTTCATCTAGTGAAAGTAGTGCAATGAAGGAAAAAGAAGAGTTAAAGATTCAGTTAAAACTCAGTCAGGAAGAAAGTAAAGCTTGGTCCGAGTGGGTTCTATTATGACATATAAATCCAACTATTCTATATTTTTACCCATATGAAATGTACGCCGCTCAGAATATAACGCCAACAGTTTTGGATGCCATGAACGGAAATGTTTCCGAATGGTATAACGAATGCGACAATGCATTAGAAGGTCAGAAATAGTTCCTGGAACTTACGAATATACAACTGCTGTTTCTTATGGAAACGTAGGTGAGTTTGGAGAAGGTTCTTCAACAACAGTAGATATTGCTTGCGATAGGTTTCACATTATTTCTATTGACAACTCTTTCTTATACGTGGAACAAGACATTGAAATAAAACCTTCTGCTGACTTGAGAGTAAGAAAGGTTGCAATGGTATTTTCTATGTCGGATACCAATATGCTCCAGAAGTTTTTATGGGATATAAGATATATTCTAACTCTGACTTAGTTCAAACAGTAACATGGGCAAACTATGAATGGTTCGCTTTAAGAAACTCAGTACAACCACAAGCTAGAGAACAAACAGACCAGTATGCAACTATTGAGAAAATAAGAAGACTTGACCCTAAGGTTCCAGGAGTTTATGTTAACCTTTCTGGTTCAGATGGAACTGCTGCCACTAAAGTAAAACTGAAACTTAGAGTTCCTTTGTCATCTTTCCTCATCTTCAGGTTTTTAAGATACTTACCAAACTGGGCAGGAAAAATTTCTATCGAACTTACTCCAAGCAAAAATAACTTAGTCATTGCACCAACACAAGACCCATTCACTATTACAGACGTAAAGGGAACAAATCAAACGTCATTCGCCGAATTTTGCAAAGACAAAGTTGACTTAGACTTTGGTTTCTCAAACTTCAACAATGAAGTAAACTATTATTTCAATGCTGCTGGAACTGCTTGGGACCCAGTTAAGTTCACATGCGAAAAGTTTGAATGCAAGAGAATAGAAAGCAGACTTGCAGTCTATATGTTGGACCCAGATATTTCAAATGCTTTAGCTGCCAAATATATTGCAGTTCCACTTATGTTCCCTATACACCAAATATCTGTCAAAGACTTTGCAGGTGAAGTTGGAAACCAAAATCCAGGAGCCGCAGGTGCAAGAACAGATATTGCTTTAACAACTGCAATGAAACATGCAGATACTATGTTTGTACTGTTCAGACGAACTATAAATGACTATTCTTGTTTCTACAACCCTGGTATTAAATATCATATAAACATAGATGGTAAATATTATCCAAGAGAAGAATATTCTACAGTTGAGGATATGAGGTCATACAACTTGACATTAGATGCTATGAACTTTAACAACAACTTCACAACAACTATTAACCCTGAAATGCAAAGTTCTATTATGCCATATGTGAAAGTATGGACTCATACAGAAGGTCAAAAAACTCAATATACAAATGGAGACCGTTCAAACTTTTGGCTTGGCATTCCATTTGCTGACTCAGAAGACTTTATGGGTGGTATTTCAACTGTTGGTACAGTTCAAATACAATATACTGGTGACAGAGACGGTCCAGATGAATTGAGAGCAAAGAAGTTTACAAAACCAATAGCACTTTCACGGAAGATGCTCTTTTGAAGATTCGTTCGATGAAACCTGCTGGGGCTCCTCAGATTGGCATAACGACAGCTTCCATCGAGCAGATTTTGGCAGCAGGTCAGTAAGTTGTTCTTGAACTGACTTCTCTCCGTCAAATATTGACAGTACGCCAGTTTTGACATAATATTGTATTATAAACTTTCCTTTAGTAATATCGGTCAGTTTTGAAGTTATATTTTTGTCTGCTTCAAGAACTTTCACCATTTCAGTTATACCAACTTTCTTTGCTTTATGAAAATATTTTGGTTCAGCAAATATGCTATTCTATAACATTTTCCATTTTTTGTGTAAAGAACTATTCTGTCAATGTATTTGTATTGTTTGTGAGTATAAACTTTGTTCTGCTTCAATTCAATAAGATATCCGAATACGTCCATCTTTTTATTCTAAGTAAAATGTCATTTCCGAAAAATAGAAGCGTAAGTGTTTCAAAAGGTTTAATGGCGGTGGCAGATGTGAAGTTAAATTCACCAACTCAAACAAACAGTCAAAGTGTTATTGTCAATGTCAAAGACAGAGATGTTGAAGTGGGGAAACCATACGAAGACGAAGATGGTATAACAATTGTTCCTGTAAAAGAACCAACATATCCTGAAGTTAACAGAGACTTAAGTTCTGTTGCAGATATTCGAAACGACTACCAACAACTGAAAGACAAACTTCAAACTCAGGAGAAGATTTGTCAAGCTTTAAGTATAATGTTAAACTTGGTCGAACACAACCCTGTAAAAGTGAACTCATATGTCATTGCACCTCATGAAGTTTTAAAGAACTATTGAAACTTTTGACAGAGGCAGACGATATAAACATCAAAGAAATAGAACCCGACATTGGTTGCTGTGGTGTTTCATATAATGTCATTGACAAGATATACGTTATGAAAGGAGGTGAAACGTTGAACTTAAAATATAGTTTCCCAGACGTTATAAAAATATTTGACGACCACAACATTTCATTAAAATTTATTTGCTAAGTAAATGGCAGAAGACATAATGGTTTATACTATTACGACTAAAAACCCTGAGTCATATAATTCTATAACAACAAACTTACAAAGTCCTCAAGGATGGTATTGTAAACTAACCTTAAACACAATGACGACTAAAGCCTGTTTTGCTCTTTTGACACCAGAAGACTTTATTGTTGTGAATGGTAAAAAATACTCCTTTGAAGATACTTACTCAGATATACCACCAACAGGTTTTGTTGACTTATTTAATACTTTAAGTACGGGTGTAACATGTGCTGCAACTAGAGCAGGTTTCATTATGTTTGGATGTCCGACTGAGTTTACTATAAACGATATGAGCTATAATACAAAACTTATTTCTGGTTTTTACTACCAACAGTTTCCTATAACAGGAAAAGGTGTCAACAAGGAATCTATTCCATTGACATTAAGCACACCAATCTTATATATTGTTTCAAACTTAGGTTCAAAGTGCTATTCGAATGTCGACAGAAACTATTATGACCAAAAGATACTTATGCGTATAAACAATACTTTCTCTGCTGGTTTGCCTATTGTTCATTCGAATGCAGAATTTTCAACCTTAGTGAACTCAAACACTTTGGCAAGTATAACGTTGACATTAGTTGACGCAAACTTTGTTCCTGTAAAACTTTTATGTCCTATGTATTTGTCAATGACGGCAGAAAGTTTCGAATTGGAAGATGCAACTGGTGAAAGTATTGTATTACAAGAACAACTTCAACAACAAATAGCTCAAGAACAACAAATGCAACAAATGGAACAACAAAGTCAAGAATAAAAAATAATATTTTTTTATTTTTATAAAAATGTACAGAATAGATGTTTCAGATTTTTATGACTTCCAAGCATTCAGAAATATGTGTCCATTTAGAGACTATAACAAAGCAGTCGAGAATTTGAAACGTTTAGTCATTTATGTCGACTCTGCCCCAGAATGTTATGTCATGAAAGAATGGGATGTTGTCTTTAACAAACCAAGAGCAACAATAGTGTCTGAACAAGAATGTAGACAGAAACTTAAGAAAATAAAAGTTGTACAAGTTGGCATGAAGATGTTAGATGCTTGGGATATCTTATTGTCAAAGTTAGAAGATTTTTCAGTTCGAGGTATAAAGTTCTATACACCTTCTCCAAACTTCTATTCTATCTTCACTGGATATAAATACGAACAAGTAGAATGGAAAGAAAATGTTATAGAAGCTTGGTTAGACCATGTCAAAGAAATTATATGCAATGGAAACGAAAGAGTCTATGAGTATATCTTATGTTGGTTTGCAAATATCTTACAACATCCAAGTGCTAAAAATGAAACTGCTCTCATTATAATTTGACTCTGTGGCAAGTTTAACTCCTCAATAGAGAATATGAAACTTATAGTTTGCAATGAACTTCAAAGTATAGATACAACAAAAGTTTTGAACTCAGATGCTTTGAAGAGTCTTATAACAGACAAAGTTGGAGTTGTTGAAAGAAAGTATAAAGACCAAAGAGTTTGTGAAAATGTTGCAAACTTCATTATGGTTTCAAACAATGCTGTTCCGATGAAGTTAGAAAGTTCTGACAGAAGATATGTAGTTGTCAGAACGTCAGAAGCTCATATGCAAGATACAGAATATTTTGACGCTTTGTCAGAATGTTTGACATCTGACTTTTACAACCACTTGTTCTCATATTTCATGACATTAGATATTTCTAAGTTCAATCCAAGACAAATTCCACATACCGAAGAGAGACAAACATTGTTAGAAGCAAACAAGAGTGTATATGAACTGTTCATAGATGAAACTGACTTTGAGTGTTTAGATGAATGGTCAATATATAATGAATATAAACAATATTGTCAAGAGTATGGTTATATGCCAGCGTCTAAACGAACATTCTTGGCAAATGTCAAAAGTCTTTTAGATGTTCAGAATGGTGTATATACAAAGAAAATTTTTTCTGAGTAAATTTAAAAAAAAATATTTTTTTATCCGATAGAAAAGATGACGAAATATATTTCAGTAAACAAGTACATGTCAGGACTTAAAGAAGAACTAGACCCATTCACATATTTGAATGTTTACTTCTACCATTTTGAAAAGTCTTCATTCAGCAAAGTTTGGAACATCGAACCAGTTAAGTTTGCTATTGTGACTAAAAATGGTGCGAAATTTGAAGACTTAGACATAGAAGGTTTGTTAACAGTCAAAGAAAGTTTTGACAGAAGGTTCTCAAACCTTAAAGAAGGCAAAGCATACAAACTTGTTATACCTTATGAACCAAAGAAGACAGACGACTATGAATATTATGAGTCTAAAGTTGTAGAAGTTCAAGGTAAATTGGGTAAAAAGATTTTAGAGTCTAAGCCAGTGTTTACTCCTAAAGAGGAAGAGAACATTGACATTGACCCAGGAATGTTCTAAAAATAAAATTTTATTTTTACATGTCAAATTTCTTTTTCTCTGGAACTGGTTCAGGTTCTTTCTTCTCTTCTACTTTTTTCTCTTTCTTTTCTTTCTTCTTCTTCTCTGGTGGAGATATGTCAAATTTCTCAGAACCATATTTATGTAAAAGTTCTTTGTCCTTTAATAGCTCATCTATTCTGTTTTCTATTTCATCTTCAAGAACAGCGCATGTGTCTTCTTTGCATTCTAAGAACTTTTGTTGGACTTCATCTTTCCAATCAGCGTCATCTCTGTCAACAAGTCTGTCATTGACAAATTTTAAGACTGCTCTTTGTAATGTTTTATGGTTCTTGTCATATTCCCAGAAACAGAACTTTAGAACAAATTCACCTTTCTTGTTTACACTATGTAAGATTTTATGGTCGACAGATGTTTTGCTGTCAAAAAGTTTGTCTCGAATATAGATAGCGAAATCGCTAGACATTTTCTAAAAGATAAAAATTTTAATTTTTCTAAAAATATGTTAGAAAAAAAGTTTGCTGGCATTGACAAGAAATTTGAGAATGTTTTAAACAAGAACAAGAGGAAGTTAGAAAATGCTCAGATAAAGCCTATACATGAAAAGTTCTTATTTGCTCAGAATGGTATAACAGGTCTAATTGCACCACCTGGGTCGGGTAAGACTTTCACTTATCTTAAAATGGCTGCACAACAACAAGAACTAGATGAGAAGAACCCATTCTATGAGTTAGTTGTTATTTGTTCGACTTCTGGTCAATTTGACCAAACCGTCAATTCGTTCAAAGATATTATAAAGAAGTCTAAGTTAGTATGTATAAAGGATACTGAGTTGTTAGATTGGATAAAGAAGTACCAAAGAAGAGTTTTGAAGTATAATGCTATAAATGAGTATATAAATTCTAAGTTTAAAGAACCTAATGAGGAAATGCAGAGAATATTAGAGAAGAAACACTTCCGAAACAAACAGAAAGAGATAGAATACATTTCGAAGAAATTGCAATCTTACGATTGGAAGACTTACCCTCATAGATGTCTTCTTATCTTAGATGACTTTGCTTCTCATCCTTTGTTAAAGAACAGAGAACAAGATATGTGTCGAATTCTTAAAAAGCTCAGACACTTTAACATCTCAGTTGTCATTTGTGTACAGACAGCAAAGAGTTTAAGTAAGGATGTTAAAAGAATACTTACTGACATAATACTTTTCCCCGGATTGTCCGAAGACGATTTCATGGAACTTATGAAAGAGTCCATGGCAGGTAAGTTTGACCGACATGAACTATGGGAGAAGTACAAAGTCATACAAGACCCTCATACTTCTTTCAGAATTCATATCTACGCAAACAAAGTTCAAATTGTAAAAAGTCAAGCTTGAAAAATGTAAGTGTTTAGTCTTAGTAAGGATATCTCTTCGCGAAGCATATGCCGTCCTTGAGTTTTATGTACGTGAAGAGAAGTACAATGAATTCAATTACGAGTACAATTGCAATGACAACTAAGGCAACTATTTTTGTCTTTTGCCAGCAAGAGTACTTCTTCTCTTCCAATGGTTCGGCAGAACTATACTCACTCATGAGAAATGCCAAAACGGTTTAATAGAAAAAGTGTCGTTTTTTCATGTCAGAAGACTCGAAGGTGCAACACTTCCAAAATACCGACGAACTCAGAAGAGCAGCATGGCAGTATGTTCTTGACAACTTCTTTGAGTTCTCCAGGTACACCTTGGAAAATGCTGAAGAACTTCGACACAGAGAATTTGGAGAAATTGCACTCCAATACTACCTTGACAAACAAAGGGTAAATTAAGACTAAAAACTTAACGTTTAAAAAGTGACATTTTTATGAGCTCCGAGTCACCGAGAAAACTTGGTCAGATGTTAGCAGCTTACTTCCCTGAGGAGGATGGAAGCGTTACATACATCAGGTTCAAAAACAACGAACCTGGAATTGCGTACCAAATTCGCAATTACATGACCATGGAAGAGTATGAAAGATTTCTAGAAGAGAAACCAGCTCTAAACAACTCAGAAAAGAAAGAGTAAAAAGTTTAATTCGTAATTGTTTATTTTTTTACTTGTAAGGGCAAGCTGCAAGTATGAAGTCGACTATCTCCGTCTTTGTTTTGACGAGCTGGACGGCTCTTGCGAGTACGTCTGTTTTGCGGTCTCCAGCTGGTGTCTGACCTTCGTAATTGCGCATGTTCTTGAGAGCTCCAACTGTAAATGGTTGTAGGATGAAGAGTCTCTCAGACTGCTTGAGGTAGTCGTCTCTGTCTTTGACCGAATCTGTGGTACGAGTCGAATCGGTCGATTTGAGGGAAGAGACTGAAAGCCTGTCGTCTTCCATTGGAGCTGTAGCATACTCTTTGCGTAAGCGGTTCAGACCTTCTTCGAAGTCTTGGTCTCTCTTCGATTGAGATTGGAATTGGAATTGCTGGGGTGGAGCTTGCTGGAACAACCAAGGGTTGGGGAAGTAAGGCATAGGCTGAGGAGGGTAGTTTGGGAAGCCTTGTGGTGGGTAGTAACCTTGAGGTGGAAATTGGTAGTAATTCGGAGGTACTTGCTGGAACTGAGGTTGCTGAGGAGACTGTTGTGGTTCTTTAGGTTCCTCTGGTTTGGGAATGGACTCGGTTGGTGGGACGTCAGTCATCCGTTTGTGGCTTAACCGTCGGACCACAACGATAAAAATCTCTGCTACTAGCAGTACTTTTACTGACAGTAGCAGTACTTTTACTGACAGTAGCAGTACTTTTACTGACAGTAGCAGTACTTTTACTGACAGTAGCAGTACTTTTTCTGACAGTAGCAGTACTTTTTCTGACAGTAGCAATGGTCGAGGTCGAACCTACCGACGAGGCAATTTACCTAATTGAAATTAACGAGCTTGTTAAAGACTTCCTCAGGCAGAATGTAAAAGGCAAGCTTGTTAACGGTTGGATAACGGGAAGGGCTGCCTTGAATCTCGAGACTTCGACTGGAATTCCAATTGAGGTACCAGAAGGCACTCCTTTCGACGACATAAAGCAAGCAAAGAAGGAAGCCATTATAAAGTTCTTTGCCAAGCGTCCTTGGATACTACTTCCAAACAGAGAGAACCCTTTCCCAAGAATGAACCAAATTCTCAAGGGTCTCCTTCACTTCTCTGGTCAGCCGTTCTACATAACCTGTGAAGGCGACATTCAGCCAGTTCAGTAAACATCTCATTTTAACTTACTTTTTTTATGTTTTTACTCACACTCGTACTCACCAGGTATGAGTACAACTATTTCAACTGTGAACCTTGTAGTGACCGGTCTTCCTGCAAATGCAAGTTCGGTCAATACACAGTTTATGGTGGCAAGAAGGACAGTGGGGAATGCGCGCTCGAGAGAGAATTGAAATTCCAGACCCAACTCCAACAAGAACTCTCAAGTTGTCAAAGACTCATGTGAAGAAGAAGTCTATAACAAAGCACTTATAGCCATATATGGCAGTTTAGAGTAAAAACATTTTTTTCATTTTTTGAATGAAGCAAGTTAAACTCGTCCCACACCAAACTCAATGGACCGATGAAGAGTTTCAAGCTATGGTTGAAGGTGTTGAGAACGACATAGACGGCGAACTTGAAGGAGCTCAAACCACAATTGCAACCAAAATTGCACAAGTCAAAGAAGAGATAGCTCCACTTAAAGCTACCAAAGCTACTCTTGACCTCATGGATACTTACCGTTTAGAAGTAAGAGTGGAATAAGACAATTAAAATTGAAACTTCTAAACTACGAAGCTATACTCCAAAAGTTAGCAGAAATGAGAAGACTTTACCAGAGCTACTTACATGTAAGGGACTTACCTTCAAGCAGTCCGACCAAAGATGAATTTTCTGACATTGTCCCAATTTTGTCCGAAAGTCAGCTCAGATGTTTTGAACTGCTCCCAACATATCCAGAATATGAAAATTTGCCTGAACTCTTTTGGTTCCTCAAAAAACGTTTTTTGGTTCTCATGTTCGAAACTTTTATCGGAAGAGACAACAAACGTTCAGAAGAAGAGCAAGATATTATTTTAAACTTGTTGTATGACTTAACTGTCATAACCAGCTTTTTGAAGTAAAACCGTCATTCTCAAACCACTTCATTTTTTCGATGTCCGAACAAGCACCGAAGCCGAACACAATGGCAGATGTCCTTTCAAGGTTGCCAGACAAGCGCCCAATTCAAATTCAAATTGCCCAATTGAAAGCTCATCTGACAAACACCATTAAGACTCTCCAAAGTAGTCTTATGACAGAGATGACCAATCTCAAAGCCGATGTCCTCATGAACCAAGCTTCCAATGAGAAAGTCCTGAACGATTTCTCAGAATCGTTGCGCAATTACGAGAGAGAGAACCGAGACCTTGCCAGACTCATCTACCGTTTCTTCGAAGAGATAGACGCCATCTGGAAGGTACTCGGAAAGGACAGAACATGCAACACCGTACTTCGTGAGTACCAAATTGAAGGAGGAATTGTCGAGGAAGAAGAGGAAGAAGAGGAAGAAGAGAAACACGAAGAAGAGGAAGTTTGGGCAACCCTTGTTGCCGATGACGCTTACGAAATTTCCCAACCCTACCCATACCAAATCCGCAACAAGGAGACAGGCAAGGTTCTTACCCCAGTCCTCAACAACTTGGGACACTTGAACCTTAACCTTCGGAATCGCGGTTCAATCTCCATGGGCAAGCTTGTCGCAATTCAATGGGTTCCAAATCCAGACAAGAAGACGAAGGTCAGACACATTGACGGTGACAAGCTCAACAACCGTAAGGAGAACCTCGAGTGGTTCTAAGAGTAAAAAAATTATTTTAGGGGAAAACCCCAAGTAAATTTAAGTTTTTATTTTTGGTATTCGTACCAATTTTGGAATGTGAAGACCACATCCCAACCTCTGTACGTGAGTCTTGGGTCCACGTCTAAGACCCTTCTGTAGCAATTCCAAGCCCGAGCAAATTCAATTGTCAACCACTCGTCTCCTCTGTAGTCTTCAATCCATTCTTTGAAGAGACGGTCGAGTTCGGCTTGGAATATCTCTTGCCTGGGTCCGAGACCAACATTTGGTTGAACTGGACGAAGCGCTCAGGGATGTACGCCATTAAAAAAATGTCACTTTTTTAAAAATTTTTTATTTCATGCAATGTTTAACTATTTCACCATCTTCTTTAACACCCCAGTACTTACGCTTGGAGAGGACATGAACTTCGGTGAAAATTTTGTCCAATTTGAATTGACCCATCTTTTCACCGACCATTCCCATTTCAATGAGTTTGTTGTATCCTTCTTCGTTCGTCATGAGTGCGTCAATGTTCTCATAGTAAACCTTGACTTTGATTTGACTTCGGAGAAGAATTTGTTTGTCAAGGACTGCTTTGCGAACTGAGGGTAAGACCAATGTTCGACAATAGGTTTTAATGTGGTTACTAAGCCACTTTGACCTTGAGTGAATTCGTACTTCAAAACAAAAGGAGAAAACCTTTCAACAAAGTTGTCGACCTTCTCATAATGTTTACTCTTCATCTCTTGAGGTTTCTTAATGGAATATCCCCATGTCGAATTCATAAGCAATTTGAGTGTCATTGCAAGTTTGGGGTTTGAAGCTTTCCTAATATCATACAGTTGTTGTATGACTTTTCCAACTGTATAGTTCCTTCCCGGGAACTCACCATCTTCGTTTGGAATTCCAGTCGGAATATATTGGACAAACCTCATGTATGCAGCGTTAAGGTCGACATAGTATATCTTTTCATCTGAGTCGAACTTGTCGCAACCAATTGGTCCAGTTTGTGGAAATTCAAGTGAGTCTCTTATCTTCTGAGAAACTTCTCCTGTTATCTCATAAACATCGTCGAAGCAACCTGTTTCATATAAAACCTTCTGACCTAACTCAGATGCTCTCCAATACAATTTGACGTCAATTGGATGTCTCAATGGAAGTTTGTTTATAGCATCTTGAAGTTCTTGCAACCTCATTGGAAGTTCTTCTGGTTCAGGTTGGTATCCGAACATACCAACTCCTTGTGGAACTGTGTACTTCTTTTGTACTAGAACTTTGTCTGGAACAACTTTTGGTCTTGCTAACAATGAAAAGTTTGTTTCGTCTTTTGGTACAAAAGTTTCTGTCAGCTTGTCATCTGGAATTGGTTCCAACAAACCTTTCTCGAAAAGAATGTTTACAGCTCTGACAATGTTGCACTTACTTTTACCAAAGAATGGGTTTGTAAGACTTTCGTTCAACATGAAGTGGTTGTGGACAATTACAATCTTCAACCATGGTAAGTCTTTGTCAACAACATAGTCGTCATGTGAAGAACCTTTAGCTGTAGGTATGTTGACTCGGATATTGACATTTGCCAACGGTGCAATTTTTGCCAATTGACCTCTGAGAATGTACCTTGTCTTCACACATGACTCAAGATACTTCATCTTCTCATCTGTAACAAGACCAGAGTTCCTGAGACATGTAAGAATGCAAGGTTCATTTGACAATTGTTTCAATTGAATTGTAAATTCCATACCTTGTCAAGTCAATGTCAGACTTATTTATGAACGGGAAGTATCCAGCATGTTGTCTGACTGCTTGAGGGTTAGGTTGGTACCATTCGAACTTGACACTTGCAATTCCTTCAATTGCATTCAAAATGTCTGAGTCGGAGTCAACCATTTGTTCTCTCTTTGTAGTCTTGAAAGCGTCAAGAAGTTTTGCGGCTGTTTGTTCATTGCCATGTGCATAGTAAATGTGACCATCCAAATCTGTTATGGTCAATCTGAGATTGTGTCCTTTCTTATTTCCGTCTTGAATTGCAGCAAGTACTCCCATGAAGCCTTCTTTGTTCTTTCCTTCGTCAAAGTTTACTGTAAAGGTTCGACCAGATGTAATTTGACTTCTAACTTCACGATACTTTTCATATGCATATCTTGTTCTTTCCATGGGAGCATGTGCGTCTTCACCTTTTCCTTTTTTCCTTCTCAAAGGATGCAATTGTTCGTCATGTTTCCAGTAGAATCTGGCAAAGCCGTCGTGTCCTTCAACTTGAGGTTCACTAACATCGAAAGGCATGTCCATAAGACGTTCTTCTTCTAACCTCTCTAGTCTGTTTGGATAATTGGCACGTGCTGTTTCCAAATCCATTTCGTAGCGAAGACCAGACAATTTGTCATAGACTTTTATGGGTCTTCCCTTCCTATATTTAAAATTCTTCGAAACTCTCCAACCATATCTTTGTAACTCTGCTTTTATTCTAGCAGACTTTCTATCCATTCTATATGGGGGCATTTTTATAAAAATAAAAAAATATTTTTTTCTTTACTTTACATAACCGCCTGCTGCCATAAGTCTTTGACGCCAACCCATACCAGCTAATGAAGGTTGACTTGGTTTAGTTTGGAAACTAAACTTTGGTTTTGGTTTATCTTCAGTTTTTGGTTTTTCTTCTTCTATCGGTTTTTCGTCACTTTTCGGTTCCTCTGACTTTACTTCACTTGCAGGAACAGTTGTGTCGTCAACATCTTCATAAATATCATATGCCATTTGTTTTTGTTTTCCTTTCAACTTTTTGTGTTTGTTGTAAAGTTTAGAATATTTCGACTCTAAGTCAATGAGATGTTCTATAATGAACTGTTGGTCAGTGAAGTAAACTTTTCCATCTGTTGTCTCGAAAGCTCCTTCAGACTTCAATATTTTATTTGTGAGAGTCTGTTTCTTTTTTGAGATACTAGCCGTTCCATTTCTATGAAAAGTGACTTTATAGTTAGGGTTTGTATTTCCAGACCTGGCACTTTCTATTATTGAATTTTTCTCTTCATCTGTAAGTTCTTTGACAGGTTTTGACAATGGTTCTGAACTTTTTGTTTGTGGTGTCAAATCTACCGTTTCAACTTCTTCGGTCATTTCATCTCAGTAAAAAATTTTAGTTTGGTTTGTTTTCAACTGGTTGTTGTTGTGGAGGTGGGATGGTTCCTTTAATAATATCATTCAGTTTCACATGCTGAGCCTGACTATATGGTATCGGTTTAAATGCTGGAAGCCGACAAATCCATCTTGAACTCATTTGTCTCAATGCTGCATTGTTCATTTCATCTCAATAAAAAACTTTACATTCCCCACGTTTGAGGCGGTTGAGGTTGGTTATTGTTTACCCACTGTTGTGCATGGTTATATCCTCTGTTAAAGAATCTTTCACCTTGGTCCATATAGTGTCCTGCTTGGTTATAGTAGTCATTTGCTTTGTTATAATAGTTTCCTGCTTGTCTTCCTACATTGTCCATCCATCCTTGAACTTTTCCTCTTGTTTCAGGATTTGGAATAAGATTTGTTGCATCTCGTGCTACATCCCAACCTTTCTGTACAGTTTGTATAATAGGTTGTGCTTTCTCTTTAAGTATACCTAATGTACTCAAAATCTTCCTTCCAATCCAAATGCACCTCTGGCTATTGTTCCCACTGCGGGTAAAAATCTAGATGCGACTCCTGCTAATGCGCCAAATAAACCCATTTCTTATAGGGTAAAAAATGACGAATCCGAACAAGGACCCTATGTTTCTAAAGCGACAAAGAAAGCACTCATGATAAAAATCTTTAGTTCAACACCAAATGCTTGGTTTATGGATATCTTGGAAACATTCCGAGAGTTAGAACAGATGGACTCCATACTGGTTAATATTTGTTGGTCAAAACCAAGATACTGTGAAGCCATACCATTACAGTCCAAAGCTATTTTAGATATCTTAGCAGCTTTGACAATATTCGTTGACAAATACCATCCAACAAAACTGACATCTGACTGTGAAAGTTCTTTTCAAATCAGATGATGTAAAAAACTATCTGCGTTCAAAAAATGTAAACCAATATTTCATTGTCGACCAAAACCATTCTGCTCTTGGTGTCATTGACGGGTATAAAAATGTTAAGAGACTTAAACCAACCACAATGTGGTGAAGCAAATGAAATGTCATATGACGACAAGTATAGACACTTCTCCCAGGCAAAGATGAGACAAGTTTTAAATATTTACAATAACCGTAAACAAAAAGGTTTGGGAAACCACTCCCCCGAAGAAATGAAAAACAACCCTGACTTAGAGAAAGACTATATATTTAATAATTTAGTCAAAAGAGACAAACAAGAAAGAATGCCGGCTTCAAACTTCAGAAAGGTGACAAAGTAAAAATAGAAATACCCAAACGCGACCCATATGAAAATACTATTGACTATGACAACAACAAGTACCCGACAGGTACTCACATTCGTGTTCGTAAAAATAGAAGAAAGTATACAAGAGAATATTATGAAGTTTTAGGCAAACATGGCAAAATGTACACACTGCAAGCAGAAGATAAAACTACTATTGTCAGACCTCGTTTCAAACTTGTCAAAGTTCAAGGTGGTATACTTTCAAAGACAGTTCCTAACAAATATAAGATAACTCCTGACGAATATGCTAAAGAAGTTGAAAATGACGACTAAGCAATTGTATACCATGCGTAAACTGTCATGTAATGTGGCATGTATTCTTTACTTTGTCCCGTTGTTTGCGTATATCCTGAAACGAAATGTGTATGGTTTCCTTCTCCCTGCGTGTCATCCCAGTAACAATTTATAGCAAACTTAACGTCGTCTTTAACATCATATCCTTTACCTTTTGTCATTCCTGACCAATCCCAATATCTATGACTATGCCAACCTGCTTGAGATGTACTTAAATCTATGTAATGACTGTGTGCAGGTAAATTTTCACCTGAAATCGTTTTACTTCCACCTGTTTCCTTTGAAGAGTTTGCAAATACAAAACCTGTTGACTATTTGTTCCCATTCACCAACACCAAACATTACTTGAGGACCTCTTGCATCCATAGATGTATAAATAGAACCTACTGGGTTCATTAAATCAAACATATGAGATATTATAGGATTGTCTCTTTTGAACTTAAAATATAGTGCAACTATTTCAGGTTTCTTCTGGTTTGTGTCAGAATATTTTTTTATAATATAATCTTATGTTTTCAGGGTAAGTAAAGTCTTGACTATAATATTTATTCTGTCATCTGTATAATAATATACTATTCTCGTTTTTTCTATTGCATTATATCTTTTATATCTATAATAATCTAAATATAATGTTAGCTTTTGTTCATCTACATGTGGTGTTCTGTCGTCATCTCCATAGTCATAATAATGTGGTGCCGGAGCTGGGTCAGGTAATATCATATCCACCATTTCAAAACTCTTAAATATTTCTTTTGTTCGTTCCATATAGGTTTAAGTAGCAGTTGTTGTCTAATGGAGCTTTAACTTGTGTACCATCATTCTTTTTATAGCTTACATACATTTCATTGTTATTTTTCGGAATGAGTTTACACCATGTACCATTTTTTAAGGACTGTACCAACTGCCATCTAAAATATTTATTTTCTTCATTGACAGAAAAGTCACCAACAATAGTTTCAATATTTTTTGTTCCTATCAAACTTTGGTATATTTCATTGACATATGTTTTATCTGCTTTATTTTCTAGGCTAAAGTTTAAGTCTGTTATTTCAGAAGATGTATGTGTATGTCCAACGTCACTTTTCTTGTTTAAGGTTTCTTGTAAGTTTGTAATATTTGCAATGGTATGTGTATGTCCAACGTCACTTTTCCTGTTTAAGGTTTCTTGTAAGTTTGTAATATCAGATATAGAATGTGTATGTCCAACGTCACTTTTCCTGTTTAAGGTTTCTTGTAAGTTTGTAATATCAGATATAGAATGTGTATGAGTCTTATCTGCTTTTGTCTCTAATGTTTCCTTAAGACTTGGTATTTGGTTAATATAATGTATATGAGTCTTTTTAGAATATTCGTTTTCAGCTCTTGTCACTTCACTTGACATTTTATTGTCAACATATGTTTTGTCTGCTAGTTCAGGATGAGTATGTTCTTTTGTTGCATAAGCATTGTTAGCTCTTTCTTCTTCTTTTGCTATTGCATCGTCTACATATTCTTTGTCAGCTTTGTTGTCAACATCTGCTTTCAAAAGAAGTTCATTTATAGGTTTCTCGTTTAAAGTTCCTTTTGTTGGATTTATACAGACAGTATTATTCTTATTGTCTTGAAATAGAAACTCATCTGTTATAGGGTTTAATGTCAGTTTTAAGTCACCCCCTTTCAATGACTCAGATATCTTAGAATAGTTTGAAAAGTTTGTTGTGTTCTTATTTAGAGCTTGCATAATGAGTTGTCGGTTGTGTTGTATTTCTCTCATAGACGCTGTTTCATTTGACATTTTTATTCTAGATAAAAAATGCTTTCAATAGAAAAAGAAAATTCAAGAGTTGCTACAACTAAACCATTAGATGAACTTTTTACTAATGTCGGTCAAAAGTTTGACTTAGATACTATAAAGCATGAAGGCTATCGTTTTGACTACCCATTAAGATGGTTAAGAGAC